TGGATGGAGCTAGTTGCGGTTCCGTTCTTGCTAGCATGGTTTTGTACGCATTCCTGCCCCCCTCCCTGCGAGGATAAGCACTTCAACAACTTCGCATGCAGTGGATCACATTGAAACGATTGCCCAAGCCGCATGGTCGCGCGAACGACAATTTCCGCGATTCAGTCAATAAGTATATCACGAAGAATTATGCTTATATGGGAAATGAGAAGCACTGCGCATTTCGGGATGACTTAGTCCTTCCTATGCAGAAGGCTGGCATTGACAATGGTTGGAATTTGACATCCGAAAATAAGGAGATGAAAGGCTTCACCCGAAAGAGAGACCTGGAATCTCAGCAGTCACTGGAAGAAGTATCATCATCTCCCTACCATTGAGAAGATAGTTGTAGCCTGATCATTCCGGCTGAGGTCGTTATTCATAATGATGCCCAAGTGACATGCAGCCCTACGAGGTATTGCCTCATCATCCACGGTTATCATACGCTCAGCAGCGGTAGGTAGCTGCAATAGTATTGTGCTCTACATGACTATCGTTAGCTGGGCGATCTTATTTCAGTTAACGCCCAAGCCGATGCTTCTGATGCAGCCTTCCATTACATCCGTAACATCTTGCAAAATAAACACATCTGATTGATATCGGATTTTGCAGAGTTGGTTGTCTGATTCACAGATCAGTTCTTACAGATAGACATATTTTGGCACCTGTTCAATTCTAAGTTTAATGACTTCACTCAATCGTTGGATAATGTATCAGTAAAGCATGACCTTGGCTTCTTTAGGTTTATTTTCAGTATGCCTTACTAATGGCATCGTTCAGCTCTTGATTTCCACTGAAGGTTTGCTGGAGATCATGTGAGGATCACAATATCGGCGGCAATTGGCAGATGTATATGAGCAGTGCCATTTATTTCAACCACTGACTTTTACTATGAAGAGTCTTCAGTGCCTTGGAAACCTCTCCTAAATGATATTGCATTAAATGTCGAACGCATTTATCTTCATCTTCATGTTCCATGAAAAGTTTGGAGGTGTCAGGTACGGGTTCTCCTAATTTATTAGCCTTCTTGTGATTATGCCACCGTTTTGATGGCAGGATGATGAGAATTGCCTCATAATTTGATTTGGCATTGATATGAACGATGTACAGCAGCACTTTCTTCTGGATTTGTAATTAAATTGAGCTTCTCATGGAGAAGAGATTCTCTCATCCTCGAGTGCGACTACAAAGCTGTATTGTCGTCTGATCAAAATTCATGTGACGGGTCTTCACGACCGTTTTTACGGTAATTTTTCTAAATTTGGAGGCGTTAGGTTCGAGTCCTGTTGCGAATGCCTTCAGAAACGAAGGCTAAGCAACTGTTTCTTACGAAACCAACCGGCAGAAGGCACAGGGGACGGCCAAGATTAACCGATGCAAATGTATGAAGGGTGTCTGCTCTGCACTTGGTTGTTTTCTCCCGAAGCTCAGACTGTGGTACAGGATCGGGAATATAGGACGCACTGTCTGCCGCATCTACCTCCGCGGTTCGAAAGGAGAAGCGGCCATGGAAGTTGATGATGAGGTTCGAGGCCAATAAGCAATTGTTTAGTTCTAATTCCACTGGGCCAAGAATTCACCATTCACCCCGTTGACGTGACCCACGTTCCACTGATGTGACTAACCAAAAAACGGGCAACAAGTCCTGGACTTGCGACTACGAGAGGCAGCGTGATGTTTTGAAGTGGTCTTATCAGAATGGACCCCATGGCGATGCATTCTGATGCAAGAGCCTCTAGCGCTGCAGTTCGCATCGAACCACTTGATGCCTGGCTGTCTAGTGCGGTAATAGACAAAGTTACAAACTCTGATCAGGTTTCCACTTTCTTAACGGAACCGGGGACAAATGGGTCAAATAAACTTAACACCAAACCACACACAATGTTTTTTGCTATCACCACCTGAGAAACCCGGTAAAATAACGTTTCTACGTCGAAGTACTGAATGTCTTCCATCTGAATTGCCAACCCTCTGCACAAGCGATAACGTTCGACTCTCTGCCATATGTAATGGTTATCGTTGGTCTGTTTCATGGCATGGAGAGATATTGCCTGAGAGATCGGCTTTGAGATTCAGAA